CTAATCTGTCAGCAAGCACGCCAAAAATTCCCGTTTTGTTGTTTGTTTTTTTATTTTCTATCCGGTCTCTCAGCTCGGGTTGGCCGCACAAATCTACCAGGTCAGCAGTTTCCTGGTCGCTCCAAATCTATCGCATTATTATTAATTAAAATTTGAATTAACTTTTATGAAAAGTAATGATTGCGTCTTGATTAAACACACATGAAGGGTTTTTTTATTCAAGAACTTCTAAATGCAACGGCGTCATCGACTGTGATTGGTCGACAGCCGACGAGGAAATGTCAATCTCGGTCACGCCAGGGTCAATCCAGGGTCAATATGGGTGCTGAGCCGGGATCGAGATAGGTAGATTGAGATCGAGGTCACGCCAGGTGCGAGTCGGGGCAGATGCGGTCACATTACGAAAATCTCACCCGCGGTGAGTCAAGCCAGGCTTGAAACGCTAGTGTGACCGTAGCCTAAGTCACTCAACTGCCTCCATAGTTTCTGTTTGTCATGTCTTGAAGACTGGGTTAAGGAGAAGGGTAGGCTGACTTGTCCAACTTGCTCAAAATCATACCGACTTCCAGAGGGCGGGCTTCAGAAGCTTCCACCAAATACATTTATAAATAACTTATTAGAAACTATTGAACAATTTTCTGGAAAAGATCAAATAAAATGTGCTTGTAAAAAAAGAGAAGCAGCAATATATTATTGCCAGGATTGCAGACAGTACTTGTGTTCTACTGGTAGTGAATATCATCATGAATTTCGACTCTTTGCAAATCACAAGCTACATTCAGTGGAGGATTTGCGATCAATGAGCACAATACAGAAAGCTTCACTACATCCGCCGCAGTGTTTGCTTCACAGCAAACCTTTGGAATTTTACTGTGTAAATTGTACAACTCCAGTCTGTGTTAATTGTACAATTATGAACCACAAAGAATGGGAAGGAAAACACAAACCGATCTGCATTTCAGAAGCATTTCAAACATTTAAAGAAACTTCAGCAACACTAGAAAAAGCTGTCAGTGACTGCAAAAACAAATTACAAGATGGCCTCAAAGCAGTAACTCAGATTGCTACAAAATTAGGACAAAGTAAAGCTACAACTTTGAGAAATATTGACAATCATGTACAACTGATGATAAAGAAAATCAAAGAAAATGGAGACAAAATTAAAAATGAAGTAGAGACAATATACAAAAAGAAAAAGAAGGTAAATGATGTACAAATGGATGAACTGAAAACAACAATATCTGATATAAATACAAAACTCAGTTTTCTTAATCAGCTTTTGCAGAGTGATGAAGCAACAGCAATGCAGTCAGGTGAAAGATTAATTACAGCACTGAAGGAGAGAATCAATGAATTGCCAAAAACAAAGCCAGATGATAATGGACAAATTAAATTTGTTATCAATGAGAATCTGTTTGATTCATTGCAACAATGTGATATTGGGTATGTATCACAGGGAGCAGCAGACCACCTGACATTGAAGGGAGTGGAATATGCATTACAAGGTCAGACAATTGTTGTCAAAATAATAAAAGCAGACGAATGTAAAATACATGCAAATCAACTGAAGGCAACTTGGACACAGCCAACAGGAGAAACCAGCATCATTCAAGTTCAGGAAGATGACAATGGAGATTATTTTGTGACAGGAAAATGCACCAGTACAGGTATTTGTAAATTAGATGTGAGCGCCAGCAGCGAACCAATCAAGCAGTCACCAGTGATAGTGAAAGTAGAGAAGGAAGGACTAGTAAATACCATTAAAATAATAAACAATGTTAATGTTTACGATGTAGTTAAGTGTGAAGATGGTTGCTTGCTGGTTTCATGTCTTACAAATGTAATATTCAAGTACAAGCAATCGGGAGAATATATTGGTAAGGTTATGCTACCGCAGGGTGTACAGGTTTTCAAAATGTTCAAAATGAAGAGTGGTAACATAGCATTCAGTGATTTGGGTAATAATAATACCATCAAAGTATGCAATATGAATGGTCAGGTGATCAAATCAATTGGTCAGGGAGTACTATCAAGTCCATATGGTATCCATGTGCATGAGGCATCAAATGTTGTGTATGCTGGAGACTTTAATTCAGACTATGTCTACATGTTTGACTTTGATAATGACAATGTGAACAAGCAGATAGGGTCAAAGAACAAACACAGTCAAATAAGTGGAGTCTGTGATGTAACTCTTACAAATCAAGGACATTGCCTCATATTGTATTCTCAAAATCAAGGACTACAGTTATTTAATAATGAGGGACAGTTCCTGAAAGTCCTTGTTGAATCAGGAGTTGAAGATGGTAAGGTGATGTATCCACATGGAGTAGTAGTTGATGAGGATGACAACATCATTATATCAAGTCACCACAAACTACAGCTATTCAGTAGTGATGGATCTTTCATGAAAAGAATTGATAAACCAGAAGATAAAATCAAAAGTCCAAGGGGATTATCCGTAATTTCACATCATCCAAGGAGACTTGCAGTAGCAAATTATGGTGACAAAACTGTAAAAATATTCAATTATTAAAAATTGATAGTCAACTGGTTGCTATTGTTGTTGTGTGGTCTTTTCATAATTATTAATTTACAGGTGAATACCTACATATATTATTTCATATCACTCATATAAATTTGCAGTTGTGATTACCAAACTATATAAACTTATTAATTTTGATGATGATGATACTGCTCACTTGTTTATGTTGCATTTTTCATCTACTGAATCACAAACCATATTAGGAATACCAACAAACATGTATATTATTTAATATTAAATGAAAAAATGTATTGAGTCAGATCCATTGCATACTCATTGTGTATATTTATTTATTAAACATACTTCCATTTAATTTCATTTTCATTACTTTTATTATAAATTCAATATAAAAACAATTACATTATTTTTATGTTGAATCAACTCATGTATGGCTGAGAATTATGTGAAGAGACAAGAATAATTCTGTCAACAATCACATTTTTGTAATTTATATCTCCACATTTTAAATGTATTACTGGGTAGTTTTGTAAAATATATATATAATTATCCTAGGAAATATTCTTTTTGAATAATTATTTTCAATTATTGTCATTCTGTAGTTTACAGTAATGTTCATGTTAGCTATGAATTTTCAATTAAAAAAATGCTTGTGGTAACAATTACCTTTTAAAAATATACTTTAAATATTTTGATGAATGTTAATATAATTTATTCAACTTTTCAACTGTAGGCTTATTAATGTTATTATCTTCATTATTATTATTAATGTTGTTCTTATGAATTACCCCATATAGTATTCGATGACATTTTACTTAGCATCTTAATTGTTGGCATATTTAATCCTATATAATGTTATCATTATTATTATTATTATTATTATGATTATTATCCTTCTCAACCAACAACAACAGTTCTTTTCAGAACTATCTACGTGGTGTACCGCAAGCATTAATTATATATTATTATTATTATTATTACTATTATAATTATTATTACTATTTTTATTATTATTATTAATGTTCTTACATATTATTGTATTAGATGGCAGTTACAACAATTTACTCAGAATTCTAATTGTACTACAAATTAGAGCAGCAAAAATAATAACTCGAAAGTCCAGATATGATTCCAGTTCAGGCACAAGAGGCGCCAAATTTAGAAAAAAAAAAAAAGAAACAGTATATCAATGAAGCAGTAACAATGTATAAGATAATGAATAATTTAGCACCATCCTTCTTAAGAAACCAGTTTCATGAACGTGAACATACAGTAGAACCTCAATTTTACGTACGGTACGGGACCGGAGGGCGTACGTTAATCGGGGGATTCGTAAAATAGAGGTTGGGTTAAATTTGTGGTAACCTTTGACCTAATACGTACTTAACGCTCAATATACGTATGTATGAACGAACGATGTTACCTAGCTAGGCTAGACCTAGCCTCTAGGCCTACGAATAAAACCATGTGTTTAGTGTTTTTATTCATCACTTTACGATGTCATAATAAAGTGTTCAAATAAAACCATGCGTCTAGTGTATTAATTCATCACTTTATATATTTTATTTAACTAAAGAACATGAAAATATTGTAAGATTACCTATACGACAAAGGTATTACTTGGGAATTCCCCTTCGTGCCTATTCTAAACAACAGAGCTGTGGCAGTGTTGTCTGGGCCTGTTGAGACAAACTAAACCCATGTGCACTGGGCGATTCAACCAATTAGCGTTTGTGTACATGAAACAGCAACCATGTGCACTGCACTGGGCAAGCCAACCAATTAGCGTTCGTGTACGAAACTATGCCTACTCAGCTTCGTGTAGAAAATTTGACCAGACAATTTTTTCCATGGTGTGCCACACGAAGCTAAGGAGGAAAGCAATTACTTTGAGCACCATTGGTAGTTCACATGGTTTTAGATTATAACAACCCAGTATTAGACTCAATCAATGTTGCTGTTTAATGAAAATATGTTGCATTATGGCTTGTTTATTGTTATAGTTTATTGTTATAGTCTTTTTACTTATGGTTGCTCTGAAAAGGGCCGTTTGTTTTGAATATTTTCGGGGTTTTTGATGACGTCATCGTCGATACGAGGCGTACGTAAAACCGAGGGTTCGTATAACTGGGGTACGTAAAAACGAGGTTCTACTGTATATATGAAACATTTTACATTTACAACAACTGCTTCTAATGTTTATACTTTTAAAAGACTAATAAATAACTGACAAGATTAAATATCTTAAATAATGAACAAAAAACTTTAAACTGTTCTACATTGTCATGACATCACTTTTTAGTCTTTATCATTTTAAATTTTACTTTTTTTTTGTACAATATGTATTTTAATTTGTATTTTTATATTGTAGTTTCTACATTTTATATGTATCTTCTTGCAAAAACAGCCTTGTGAAAAACACCAATATGGTGCCACAGGGTTTTTCCATTTTAAAAAACAATTACCGGTATTATATTATTATTATATAATCACTAAAATTCATTTCATTATGTTTCGATTTCTTTATCTTTTTGCAATGAAAGTTGAAAAAATACATGATTTGGTCACGATTTATGATATGAAAGGGTTTCTGATATATTCTTTAAAGCGGGGGTGCGGGGATGAAACATGTATTTATTAATATAAAATAGTGGGATGGGAGACCACATTGATGGTGACGTCACTTAATTTAGGAACTCGGTATTCGAGAACGAGGCTTGTCAACTGGGTCCCAAAAAAAAAAAAGGACAAAATATGGAGAGAGGATAAAGGAAGCAAGTGATTTAGAATACGAAAAGAAAACAAACAGGAGCTTAGTAAATAGAGGCCTGACTTGGTCACTTTTTTCTCTGGCACCATGAGTGCACCATGCAGATACCTGTGCCTTAATAATGTCCATTATTATTATTATTATTATTATTATTATTATTATTATTATTATTTTTATATTTGGAATAAAATAAAGCATCGGTATGGCAAGTATGTACAGACAATATTTGACTGTTAGTCAGAATAATAATTTTTTTCCTATTTTCCAGCCCCGAAGTTTCATTTCCTTTGTGTGACTTGGCCGCAATTATCAGCAACATCAGGCCTGTTTTTGTCAGATGGAAAAAAAAATAAAGATATACAATAAACTTACAAGATGAGAAAGAATGCTTAAAGTGGCACTACATGTGGCCACGCTTCATGTTCATCTTCCTTATGTATTTTTTCACTTGTATCTCTTGCTCTTCTATCCTGGAAACAACAGTCATACAGCTTTTAAGTTGAATAACCTAAAAAAACAAATTTAAAACAGGAAACATGTATTTAATAGAGTTCTACAAATATATCTAATTAATTTTACTTTTAATTTTATCTGAAATACTGTATTTTATACATTTAAACAAATTAAGTGAGATCCTTGTCATACTTTTGCTTCCAGGTCAGAAGGACCCCAAAGGTCATGTAAATATGGAAGAGGGGTTTATTACCTTATCCAGTGACCAGGCTGATACACATGTGGGTAGTCATATTAGGATGGAAATGGTATATACCACAAATGCTTGCATAAGCGCTGCGGTGCTTATAAAATTTTTGGAGACTTCAGTGCGGCGCTTATTCGAAAGCGGAGTCTTATTCAAGAGCGGCGCTTATTAAAAAAATATTGGTGTGTCCTTATTCACACCAATATTTCATTGTTCCTATTTTTACCAATCTCACATATTCCCATAGTTCGGTAGGCCTATCATAGGCCTTACATCATTGTAAATAAACGTTTATAAAGATATGCTTGTCTTCATTGTGTTATTTATTTATTTGAACGCTGAATACATTGTATTTATTTATTACCATGTATAATGCGCTTATTCACTCAAAATGAAGCGCCATGGCACTTATTCGAGAGCAGTACTCAGCAAAGATAATCATGTCTGGTGCGGCACTTATTTACGAGCGGCGCTTATTCGAGCATAAATGGTACCCAGTTTTCTACTTTCTATTTCATGGCACTCTTACAGAGGCATAATAATGAGTACGACATGGGGAATGGAGGCTGATTATCAACTGCTTGAACATATTCCTTTTTGGGAGGGGAAAAGATTGGTTGATATAATAATAGTAAAAGAAGACTTAATTATTAGGTATATCTGTAAATATAACATAAGGCTTATCCTCATTGCCATAACAAGCAGCGATATAGAAATTACAAAAATATTTTTAAATCATTAAGTGATGTTGAAATTTTTCACAATTATTCACATTTTCACAAGTGTACAAACAGTACGCTAGGGGAAGGGGGTAAACAAATTTGCACACTTTACATATGCATGAAAATGTTGAATCAAAATAACATGCAATATTCAAAATAGATTTTTATAACCAATTAGAATGCTACTATAGATATAATATGTATATTTATGTAACTTTAGTACAAAGTTTAGTTGACTTAACAAAAAAATTGTGAATGGTTTTGCGTACACTTTCAGAGGGGAGGGAGGGGGTACCGAAGAAGAGTACTGTTTGTACACTTGACCCCTAAAAAAGTATGAAGTAAATACACATGAAAAGCAAAAACCAAATCATACTAAAGAAATTATGACAAAAAATTAAAGACATGAAAAGTAACTAGACATCATTGAGATGTGGAGAACTATAAGGCTGAATAGGAATAGCGAGGGTGAATCTGGTCCTGCAGAGGTCAGAGAATTTTTAGTTTATCTACCGTCATTAATATTATAAGTTGAGGGTGAAAATTTGTCATGAATTTTATGGTAATTTTTGTGTATATTATAGCTATAACTAGTTTGAATTGCTTTAGAAAAAGAAAATTGCATTAAAAATAAAAGTGTAATTACCTATTCATTAATAATCAAATTATATAGAATGACCTCATATATTATTTAATATGCATATATTTTTTTATTTTTATTTTATGTGGCCATAACCACCTTTATTGTTCCACCACATCTCATTCAAACATAAATATTCATGTAAAATACAAATGATTCACAAGAATTAATACAAATAAACAAATTATTAAAAAAAAGAAATATATATAC